GAGAGACAGCGAGAAATCACCCCCCAGGGGGGATGGCCATGCCACAATCCCTTCTCCTCCATTCTCCTCTCGGGATCTTGGGCATGCACACACACGCGCCCAGCATGAGTTTTAAGCCACCAGGTCCTGGATGCAAACCGCGGTCGACTACGTGGGAGTCCAGCGATGTAGCCATTACGCTAACTGCTAGTCCCAACTTCACAGGATTATTAACCCCATTTTTTTCATATGAGACTGAAGCTCAGAGGCTCCATGGGACGTATATACAGGAGAGAATTTAAACCTAGGCAGTCAGATTTCAAAGCCCATATTCTTTACCACTAGACGATTATGCTTCTACATGCATATTCAGGAGGAATGAAAGAGGGGCTCAGATTAAGCAACTTGCCCAGAAGCACACAGCTAATATCGGCAGAACCAGGATTCAAACCCAGAGCTTCAAAGGTAAAGCTTATACTCCTTCCACTGTCCTCAGAGGACAGTGGCCGAAGACACAGACCAGAGGCTATGTGAGCCACCTCAGTGTGTGGCCTATGTCTAAATATGACTGGCTCACAGTCAGGTCATGCTGTAGGGGTGGTCAGGGAGGCCATCAAACGGGAGGGGAACTGGGGACCTTGACTGAGGGTAGAAGTCATGCCACAATCCCTTCTCTATTCTTCTCTTGGGATTTTGAGCACACACACTGTAGTGTTTTCGAGCCACTGGGTCTGGGACTTGAACCCCTCAGTTGGCCATGTGGGATCTAGCCGCCTCAATTGCCTTGCCACCTCACCCTAACCCACATGGCTGAGATGTGGTTTGAGGCTTGAATTTGGCAGCTGACTTTCTCACTTTTTTTCTTTCTTGTTCACTCTCTCTCTCTCTGGTGAGCACACGTGCCCTGTTGCAAATTAAAATAATTACAATAAAATTAATTCTTCAAAAAAAACCCTTAATTCCACCATCGTACCATGAAGAAGCTACAGATTTGCACAAGACATCAATATAATTCACTCCACCATAGTCTGTAATACTGAAAAAAAATCAACGAAATGTTTTCTAAATGGCCACACTAACCGGGAACATGGTGCAAGCGTTGAGGGGCGGCAGGGCTGCGCGTTTTGGTGAGGACCATGAGAAGACAAGCTCCGCTGTCTCGGCCCTGGCAGCGCGGCTGCACGTAGGCTCAGCTTTTCCGACGTGTTCGGCTTTACCCGCGCCCAGGATTCTGCGGCTGGTCTGGGCCGGGCACAGGCTTGGACGCGCCTCTTGGCCAAGCTGACTGGCCAAGAGACCGCGGCTGAGGTAACCACGCTCCTCGGTGTCTGCTCTCCAGAAGAATCCGCCGCCCTCTGCAGGGCGTTAGAAAAAGTCCGACACTTCGGTGCTCGGACCTCTTGGCGCCGCGGACCAAGTTTCCGGGTGCTGCTTTTAGCCGCACACCAGCCGGAAGTGCCTCTATTGTGGCGGAAGGGGATACTTTCTGTGTACGGCTTGTGCAAAGAGAAGCGTGACCGGCAAAGATGATTCAGGCGATTTTGGTTTTCAACAACCATGGGAAGCCTCGGCTGGTCCGCTTCTACCAGCGTTTCGTGAGTGCTGCCCGGTTCGCCACGCACCTTCAGGGCACCCGCTCCCTCTTCCCTCTCTCCTGCCCTCTGGGCGCCCGCGGGTGGTCAGTGCTTATGTACCGCCTCCGGTTCCTGCACCTTTCATCACCCTTAGCTACTTAGCCTCGGTCTCTGGATAGGAGTCGATGCTGGCCTTCTATCCCATGCCCCGCTGCCCCAGCTCTCTCTAACTCCTTCCTAAACCCCAGCGTTTCTGTGCCGTTTTGATACACTCTTCTCCCGGGTCTCTGGTCACCCGTGTAAGCGACAGCGGGGGGTGTGCCTCATTGAGAACTTGAATGGATTGCAATCACTTTCTTTAAATCTTTTTGGTGGTTCTTGAGGAAGAAACTTTCAGCTTCTTAAAGTTCTTGTTGTAGCCAGAAGGCCTGGAAAAGATCTTTCTTGGAATTATTTTGCTTCAGTGTTGGCTGAGTCTGCCTGGGGACTGGATCTCCTTCATTGTGTAGAATTGAAAATCAGTTTAAAAGTGGAAAAATGATGACAGATTATATAATAAATATGTCTGCGTGTGGTTCAATACATGATCATGTGAATTTGAGTTTTCCCAAAACGGTCCTCTAGAAAAACACAAACATCATCATTATTTTCCTTCTGTCTCCTAACATTTTTCTTCGTGATTAGGTTTCAAACTGTTACCTGACTGGTGGGACTGGGGAAACTGAAGAGGGGAAGGTGTCAGAAAACTTACTTTCAGTCTTCAGGTCCACCTTTTCTACTATTGTGTTTATTGACAAGTTAAACCTTTTTCAGTTTTATTTCTTTTTGTCAAATAGAAATGAAAAAGATAGGAATCAGTAGATGGTATAATGGTTACATTGCTGGACTACCAAGGTTTGAGTCCTGGAACTGGGGGCTTAAACCCATGCCAGGCACGTGTGCATGCATGCCCAAAATCCCGAGAGAAGGGGTTGCAGCCCGGCCATCCCCCCTCTGCCTCTCTCCAGTGACCTCATGCTTCTTATGGCAAAAAATAAAAATTTAAAGTTTAACATCCTAGAACCAGCAGATGACATAATGGTACGTTGCTGGACTTCCATGTAGTTGACTTCAGTTTGAGTCCCAGACCTGGCAGCTTAAAACTCATGCCTGGCCTATGTGCATGAGTGCTCAGAATCCTGAGAGGAAATGGAGGAGAAGGGATTGCAGCATGGCTGGCCATCCCTCCCAAGGGGTGATGTCTCGCTTTCTGTCTCCCTTTGCCTCTTGGGCAAGGGCACGTACCCGAGAGCAAAACCTCTCTAAAACTTAATTAATTAATTAAAATAAATTTAAAAAACCTAAAAATAAAAGTTTACTTGAATCTACCTTCCCACCATAGAGGAAGCCCAGCTTGAAGTATGGTCCCTAGACCATATCTCCTGGAAGCAGTTCCAGACCTTAATCCAAACCTACTAAATCAGAACCTGCATTTTAGCAGCTTTCCCAGGTGACTCATTGCCTATTGAGATTTAGGAGCTTTTAATCACTTTCTGATCTAATGACTGGCTTTTCCCTTCTATCATCCTTTTTACTGTCATTATAAAACTCATATGGATAAGTAGAAACCAGATGTCAGTTATTGAGTGATTCCATTGCAGCTGAGCTTCCCATGTGTGTCCTAAGTGAATAGTAAGTGAAAAAAAGAAATTTTGTGACTCTGATTATTTATAATTCTAATCTATAGATAGGACTTTTGCTGTTTTTCTCTCTTTTTTTTTTTTTTTTTTTTTGGTCTGAGAGAGATGAGATAGATATTTTTATACTTGACAAGGTGTGATAATATGACAGAATCGCCACGTGGTGATCCTCCTGCCCCAGCCTCCCAGTTAGCTAGGAGTACAGGTGCACGCTGCTATGTCCAGCCTGTTCAGGTTCCAGGAACCAAACCTAGACTTGCTACCCCTTGTGCTACTGTGACTGGGCCTTCCTAATTTTTGTTGATGACAACATCTTATATGTTGTACCTATGTTACCAGTACAGAAGATGGCAAATTCAATTTTTTTAAAAAGAATTATTTTATTTACTCATTCATTCATTTTAATTTGACCAGAGAGAGACAGAGAGGGAGGGAAAGCAAGAAAGCAAGATACCAGTTCCAGGACTCTAACCATAGTCGACCATGTGTAACGTCCAGTGTCTTAACTACCACATCACCTGCTGGTCCCAAATTCAGTTTTTTAAAAGAATTATTTCTATTTAACTTTATTTATTATTATTATTTTTCAGTTCGATCAGAGACAGACAGAGAGGGAAAACGAGAAAGCAAGCCACCAGGTCCAGGACTTGAACCGCGGTCTACTACATGGGAGTTCAGCAACATAGCCATTACTCTAACTGCTGGTCCCGCCCCCAAATTCAATTTTTAACAGCATGTACATGATTCCATCTTGACCTCCTTAAAGTGTTAGGCCTAGAGGCCAGTAGGTGGTGTGGCGGTTAAGGGCACTGGACTCCCCCATGTTTGACCGCCGTTTGAGTCCCCACCCTGGCGGTCTTTCTCCCTTTCCCTCTCTGTCCCTCTCTGGTTGAATTTAAATAAATAAATAAATAAATAAGGTTAAATAAAATAACCACCTGCTGGCCCTTAAATAAATAATTCTTTTTTAAAAAAAGTGTTAAGCCTATGAGACAACATTTTAAAAATTCTTTGAATTTCATTCTTTGAAATTTGAGATTATTCTTATTCTTAGAAATGTGAGAGTTTATCATTTCTCCTTTCCTTAGTTCAGCATCTACTTACCTGTAGGTTAGTGACCTAAATATCTAGGTAGCATACCTTGTCTTAATTCCGATAGCCAAGCCTTATCCACTGTCCCATAGATTTATCTCCATTTTTTCCCTCTATCATTTTTTATCTTTTCTGGAAACTAATACTAAATGTTCTGATCGTTCCCATTATGGCAGCCCTTCTCTCCCTGTCTATCACCATTAATAGGATGCAGTTTTTCAGACTTCCCCACTAACTTGCCTTATTTTTTTGTTCCACAGCCAGAAGAAATTCAACAGCAAATTGTTCGAGAGACTTTCCATTTAGTCCTCAAGAGGGATGACAACATCTGTAACTTCTTGGAAGGTGGAAGGTAAACTGTCAGCTACAGTTTTCTCCCCACATACTTTTGGGTAGCCTTTGTCATTATTGCCTCTTCTGGCAGTACTCAAGTGTCAGGTGGGTACCTGCTGCAACTTGAACGGTTTAGGAATGATCTGCTCAGGGAGATGCCCAGTTCCCTTTGGGAAACAGCTGAACTGCTGTGCTTTAGATATCGTTCAGTTCAGTGTCTCTGAGGATAGGCAGGAGAAGAGGTGCAGGCAGGTGACTTTAGATACTTCTGCCAAACTTGTTTGCCATTCACCTGGTCGAAATGGTCTACTTCTAGAATTTGGTCACCCTCTCCCTCCTCCCCTCCCTTCCTGTCTTTTTAATGCCATAGGGCCCATGCATACTCTTGCAGGTGAGAGACAGAAAGTGAGAAGTCACCCCTTGGGGAGATAGCCATGCTGCAGTCCTTTCTCTTCCAGGATTTTGGGCATGCACACTCATGGGCCTGGCGTGTTCCTCAAGTCACTGGGTCCGGGACTCGAAGTGTAGTCGGCCATGTGGGAATCTAGTGTCTTAACTAGCATGTCACTTGTTGGCCTGGCCCTTCACCTTTCCATGAGCCTTTTCTCATTCATTTATCCAAGGTTTCTCTTTGATGTGTTTAATTAAGATAATGGGTATCAGGACTAGCAGATGTCAAAATGGTTATGTTGCTGGGCTCTCTCTCATATGACCAACCACTGTTCCAGTCCTGGACCTGGAGGCTTGAAACTCATGCTAGGTGTGTGTGCATGTGTGCCCAAAATCCCAAGGGAAGAATGGAGGAGAAGGGTTTGTGGTGTGGCCTTCCTCCCGGGGATGATTTCTTGCTTTCTTTCTCTCCGTCTCTCTAGCAAGTACACACACACTATAGCAAAAATATCTCTAAAAATAATAATAATGGGTATTTAAATGTTTCCCCTCTTCCAGTTTGATTGGTGGTTCTGACTACAAACTGATATACCGGCACTATGCTACCCTCTACTTTGTGTTTTGTGTGGATTCATCAGAAAGTGAACTTGGGATCTTGGACCTCATCCAGGTATGTATAATCAATTAATGATGGCAGTAACTTTAGACTTTGCTTAGGAACTTTGAGCAACCAACCTGTTGATCCTTTGTCGTTCTCCTTATTGCTGTTGGTGTAAGTTGCCAGATGTCCACCAGATGGTGCTCTGGGAAAGCTCCTGAACATCTAGAATAATTTTTAAATGCTTTTTCAACACCTGAGTCACACTGAACATTGAGAGTCAGCATGACACAATAGAAAGGTCAAGGGACCAGCATGATCTTTAAGGCATTGGATTCCCACGTGGCCGACTGCAGTTTGAGTCCTGGCCCCACTGGCTTGAAACAACTGAATGTGTGTGCGTGCATTCCCAAAATCCTGAGAGGAGAATGGAGAAGAGCTTGCTGTGTGGCCATCCTCCCTAGCGAGTGGTTGCTCAGTTTCTCTCTTTTCTTTCCATCTCCTGCAAGTAAATGCACCCTATAGCAAAAATCTCTAAAAACAAAAAATATGACCATGCACTTTGTAGTCTTGTGAGCTATAGCAGGCTATAGAGATGTATATAATGAGTACTATATACTAGTGATCATTTTTATTAGAGAATTATAGTTAACAAGGAAAAGAAATATAACATTATAATTTAATGGACACTTATTAAATAGTGTGCATTCAATTTGGAAAGATTGAGTAAGTAAAATGTAAAAATAATAGGAACTAAAGTACTTGATCTTTGAAGACAATAAAAATCAACAAATAGTTGAACTGCTTGATATAAAGAAGATAAAAGTTAGAAACAGAAAACATTGTTCTTAGGTGATGATATACATAGTTGCATGAGCGATGTATTTGAAATAACTAACTACAAAAAATAAATGCCTAGGACCAGCAGGTGGCATGGTGGTTAAGGGTGCTGGACTCCCACATGGCCGACTACAGTTCAAGTCCCAGACCAGATGGCTTGCTTTCTTACTTCCCCTCTCTCACTTTAACTCTGTCCCTCTCTGGCCAAATTAAAATAGATAGATAAATAAATAAATAAAGTTAAAAATAAATGAAAAGTTAAGTAAAATAATTCTTTAAAAAAAAATGCCTAAATGAGATTAACAGGGGCACGGACACATCCAATAGGAATAAATGTTTAGAAAAGAAAAATGAACGAACTCCCTAATGGGCTCACAGTAGAATTTTTCTTTTTTTAAATGAATATCATTTCTAAAAAATGTTGAATGCTCGTTGGTGGCGTGGTAATTGAGGCAGCTGGATCCCACATGGTTTACTGTGATTTGACTCTAGGACCCAGCGACTTGAGAGGCATGCTGGGTGCATTTGCGTCCATGCGTGTGCATGCCTAAAATTCCCAAAGGAGAAATGGAGGAGACGAGACTGTGGTGTGGCCATCCTCCCTGGGAGGTGCTTTCTTACTTTCCAAACTCTCTCTTTCTGTCTGTCTCTCTCCAGTGAGAGCATGTGCTTCTGGCAAAGTAAGAAACAAAACTTGAAATAGATGTCAGTGGAAGCTGAGAGAAGTGATTATCTAAATTACATTTTTGAAAAATACTCTTCTATTTATTTATTTTTTTTTTTTTTTAGAGTTTTTCGTTAGGGCGCGTGCGCCCGCCAGATAGACAGAGAGAGGCATAGAGACAGAAAGTGAGAAATCACCCCCCGGGGGGGATGGTTACGCCGCAATCCCTTCTCCTCCATTCTCCTCTTGGGATCTTGGGCACGCACGCACATGCGCCCGGCGTGAGTTCTAAGCCACCGGGTCCGGGACGCGAACCGTGGTCGACTACGTGGGAATCCAGTGACATAGCCATTACACTAACTGCTGGTTCCCTGAAAAATACTCTTTAGGTTGAAATGAAAAGCACTTTTATTTCATTAAAGTGTACATGATTAATACAGCTGGTGGTGTGGTGGTTAAGGCAGCTGGATTCTGCATGGCCAACTGTGTTGTCTGAGTCCTGGACTAGATGGCTTGAAAACCACACTGGGCACTTATGTGTATGAGTCCAAAATCCTGAGTGGAGTGAGTATGGAGGAGAAGGGATTGTGGTGTAGTCATTTCTCATAGGGGGTGCTTTCTCACTTTCCTTTTATCTTTGTTTCTGGTGAAAGTACATACCTTCTAGCAAACTTAAAAAAAGAAAGAAAAGAAAAAAAAGGCAAGAAAAATGACTTTTCCATACTCTTTTATTGTTGTTGTTGAGAAAACATTAAGATGTCAGTAGTACAGTGACTGAATGTAAATAAAAATATATACATAAAAAAATAAAATAATGACAAAATTAAATAAAATAATTCTTAAAAAATGGAAAAAAAAAAGATGTCAGTAGTTCTCTGGGGTTGGCAGGTGGTGTGGTTGTTAAGGGCGCTGGACTCCCATATGACTGCCCATGGTTCGAGTCCTGGACCTGGAGGCTTGCTTTCATGCTTTTTTCCCTCTCTCTCTCTCTCTGTGTTTGTGTCTAGAGAAATTAAAATAATAATAAATAAAGTTAAGTAATTCTAAAAAAATAAAAACAAAAAATGTCAGTAGTTCTCAGTGAAAATCCACTCAGAATCTTAGTGAAATTACTATTTTAAAATTAATTTTTGTTGTAACATATATGCATACATTCACACAAAATATGCCTGTATAGTTTAAAGAATGCCAATAAAGGGACATTCATGGACCTGTAACCCAGAACATTACTTGTAGTTTAGAAACTGTTAAGCACCCTTCCTCAGTTGCACTCTCCTCCCTGTTGCATCACTTCTCAGACATTTGGGTTGATTCGTCCTTTGCTTTTCTTTATGATTTCACTGTATGATGTGTATCCCTCGATGATATTCTGTTTGGTTTGAAAAAACTGAAGGATAGGCACAAATTTAGCTGTGTAATTTGCCACTTGTATATGAAGAGTTCTAAAGAGAAGAGAAGCTGAACAGTCTCTCTGGGCTGTGGTCTGGATACAGTGTCCCTGAGTGTGCAAGAAGCCCTTCTGAAGAAGTCAGGGGGCAAGGTCATGTGACTGAGTCCTAGAAAACCTAGAGCTCCTCACGGTCAGAGTATCAGGCTCTGCTGTCTGACAGAACATAGATTGTGCATTTCCTGCTTCTGAACTCAACCGTGACTGCCCTCTGTGTTTCAAGAATAGGTCCAAGTGCAGTATGGAAACCCAAATCAGTGAGGCTGACCTGCACGAGAAGGTTCTGGGTTTGCATCTGGAGGTTTCCCTAAGGACTTCCACACTTCTAAATTCATTTTCTTCCTTTACAGTTATAGAAAGTGAATTAACACACATGAGACCAGCAGATGGTGTAATGGTTACATCGCTGGATTCCCAAGTAGTTGACTGCGGTTCGAGTCCTGAACCCAGCAGCTTAAACTCACGCTGGGTGCATGTGCATGCATGCCCAAAATCCCAAGAGGGGAATGAAGGAGAAGGGATAGCAGCGTGACCATCCCCCCGGGGAGTGACTTCTTGTTTTCTGTCTCTCTATCTCTCTGTCTCACTGGTGAGCACACAAACCCTATAGCAAAAATCTCTTAAAAAAAAAAAAAAAAAAAAAGAATCAACACCAGGTGAGACCAGCAGATGGCATAGTGGTTACGTTGTTGGACTCCCACATAGTCAACCACAGTTTGAGCCCCAGACCTGGTGGCTTAAACCTCATGCTGGGTGCATCTGCATGTGTGCCCAAGATCCCAAGTGGAGAAGGGATAATAGTGTGGCCATTCCCCTAGGGGGTGATTTCTCGCTTCCTGTCTCTGTTTCTCTGGTGAGTACACACACCCTATAGCAAAAATCTCTTTAAAAAAAAAAAAAAAAGATCTCTCCCAAAAATAAAAGAACATAACACAAGGACAGAAAAAAAACAGGAAGAGAAACAATAACAGTGGGTTTTTGGAAAGCAGCAGAGAATAGGAATGCCTGGTGACTGACTTGGCAAGCCCAAGAAAGCTGCATCCCAGGCCAGCAGTTGGGAAAGCTGACAGCCACCCTGACACCACAGAACCCACAAAGGCACAGAGCAGGCAGCAGTCTCATCGATCGTAGAGCTGAAAGGAAAAGCTATCTGAGAACCACTTAGGGCCCTAAGTCCTTTCCCCAAGTTCGGTGTTCTGGGCAATTGCCCTTTTCCCATTGCAACATTAGAGGTTTATTCTCTGCAGAGGAAGAGAAGGTGTTTCTGGTGTAGGGGACACCAGGCATAATTGATGGCGAATGTTAGAGGGATTAAATTCATGTATGTATTCTGATAATTGAATTCTAACTTTCTTGGTCTTTTCCTCCATTTAGCTCCCAATTTCTGGTAGTCAGTCTTTTTGCCTCCCCCCCAGGAATTTGTAAAATTTCGCTGGGAAATCTGATTAAGGGGAAAGAAATTTTTAAAACCTGGAGATAGGAGAGGTATGTGGCTGTTTTCCAACAGATAACCATGATTGTAGATCTTCCAGTTAGCCTGTTTTTCTTGTGAATGAAAAAAAAAAAAGGATTATCAGGCATTTGAAGAAAACCTTTCATAGAGAAGGAAGACAAAACAAACAAGCAGTAAAAACTAAGAAGTGGACACCATACAAAGAAAGGAAATGTGAAAAAACAAAAAAAACACTATTCTTTAGCCACAGGAAAATAAAAAAGACAAACAAAAATTGGTACTAAACAAACAAAAACACTCAGAACAAAATGATCTCTTAGAAATTAAAAACCTGGGAGGAAATGGAAACAAACCAAAATCCACCTCAACTAAAGTATTGGGAGACCAAGTTAAGTAACTTCCCAGAATAGTCAGAAATAGAAAATAAGAGCTATAAGATACAAAAATAAGAATTCCAGTACCCAAGCAAGTAGCTCCAAAAAGATTGATTTAGAACATGGGAGAGGGACCAGCAGATGGCATAATGGTTACATCGCTGGTTTCCCATGTAGTCTACTACAGTTCAGGTCCTGGACCTGATGACTTAAATTCATACCGGGTACATGTGTGTACATGACCAAAATCTCAAGGGAAGAATGGAGAAGGGGTTGCAGCGTGGCCATCTCCTCAGTGGGTAATTTCTTGCTTGCTGTCTGTCTCTGTCGCTCTGGTAAGCGCACGTGCCCTTTAGCAGAAATCTCTCTTTAAAAGAAAAAAAGAGGGACCAGCAGATGGCGTAATGGTTACGTCACTGGACTCCCATGTAGTCGACTGTGGTTTGAGTCCCAGATCCGGTGACTTAAAACTCACCAGGTATGTGTGTGTCCAAAATCCAGAGAGGAGAATGGAGAAGAAGAGGCGTGGCCATCCTCCCTGGGGGCTAATTTCTTGCTTTCTGTCACTGTCAAGTGCACATGCCCTATAGCGAGAATCTCTCTCAAAAAACAAATTTTAAAAAGAAAGATGAAAAATACTATGCCAAGGTAGGGTTGGATGATAATACTATATAATAGTATACTACCATATAATAGTATATGATAATAGTACCTAGCGTAGCAATTGAAGATTAATCTATGTTTAAATGTTATCCTTACAAAAATATTGTTGCTGCTAAAAATGTAGTTATGAGGGACCAGCAGATGGCATAATGGCTGCATTGCTGGACTCCCATGTAGTCAACTCTGGTTCGAGTCCTGTACCCAGTGGCTTAAACTCACACTGGGTGCATGTGTGCGCATGCCCAAGATCCTGAGAGGAGAATGGAGAAGGGATTGCGGCGTGGCCATCCCTCCTTGGGGGGGGGGGTGATTTCTCGCTTTCTGTCTCTTTCTTTCTGGCGAGCGTACATGCCCTATAGCAAAAACCTCTCCAAAAAAATGTAGTTATGAATAGACCTGTTAGGATATTATTATATGTTTTCTGACATATGTGTGTATGTATTTTTATAGGTATATATTTAGGTGTAGACTGACTGGGTCATAGAATATAATTGGGTTGTTGGAAAAGTCATGGTATTTTTCTGTTTTTCTATGCAAAAATGCATCCTGACTTTTCTGTCAACCCAATAATATGTCAGTTTTCCAAAATGATTTGTGTCTAACAGAACCCTGTGTACTGGCTGCCAGTCCCAGAGGAGTTTTGGAGGGCTCCAAACACCTCTGCCCATTGCATCTTGGTGTTAGAGTTGCCAAGGAAAACACTATGCAGCCAAGCACTGGATCCAACAACACTTCCCTTCCGAAGTAAAGAGACACAGCAAAATCAACTCCGGTAGTGTGTCAGTTCCTCATGGCCAGCGGGTTATCCCAGCAGCTGCCACAGGGCAGTTTTCCTACACACACCCATCTTGTGCCTTAGTGGAAGGTGTGTCCAGGCTGGGCCACTCGCAGGCCTTGAGATCTGTTTCTATGCAGCACCAAACAATTGATCACATTGCTGACAGCCAGGCTGTGGGCATGAGGTCATTATCTGAGGGAGAAATAAAAAGGTAAGGACAGACATCTGGATGGTGGAGACATGGTATGTTTGTTTTAAAGATTCATGAAGTTGTATCCTTAACATGAGCACACATTTCATTACATTTCAAAATAAAAATTGTAAATTAAGTGATTCACCCAATGGTATTTTGAAGTTAATGTTAATGGAACAAGACAAAACTATATTAGCACTAATAATGAAATTTTTTTTTATACATGTATACATTGAGGCTTGGGGAAAATGTTATAGTATTGTAAGTTATTATTGGTATTTTAATTTATTATTTTTATGTAAATTAGCACCTTATAAAGGAGGAAAAGAAAGCTACGTGTGTGCTGGTCGTGTTGCTATACTAAAAATGAGGTCTTCCTGTCCTAAATCATCTTCCCAGAATTGGGGTAATTAGGGCGATCAGCTAATGCTGTAGATAGGGCAGGGTTTGGTTTGGTTTTGGGTTTGTTTGTGTGTTTTTTTGAGATTTATCATAAGGTAAATATCATCATGACTACCCCCATTCAAATATACTTACAAAGACGTGAAAATGTTCCTATTTCTCTTCTTTATCTATTTCTCCTTTTTTCCAGGTTTTCGTGGAGACTCTGGATAAGTGTTTTGAAAATGTGTGTGAATTGGATTTGATCTTCCATATGGATAAGGTACGTTCTCTTCCAAACCAGGGTCACCAGAAAACTAGGAGCCTAGGGCATTTCTAGCCACCTTTACTCCTTCATGTTCTTTCCACTTTTTACTCAGGTAGTTCTGGAACCTATTTTTTTTTTAAACTTATATATCTTATTTAAAAACTTAGGTTTAATCTCTCTTTTTTAAAAAGTTTTAATACGCTTAAAATTATTACTGGACATATATCGTTGTTCATCTGTTCATAAACAGGCTTCTTGACGTCCCTAGAGTAACTGGCTACTTGGCCAAAGGCGAGATAGTTTTATGTCAGTCATAAAATGAGTTCCTGAGGCATAGGTCAGTGGCAATGAAGCTTTGGAATAATGACGTAGCAATTTTGACATAGCTAGTAATATTTGTATCTTTTCTAACAAGAAATGTAGTGACTACCATATCTGGAACACAGTCTGAGGTCAGGTGATACTCTGTAGGAAAGCAGATTGTTGGAGCCAAAACCAAAATGATCCCACGTACATGTTCTCAGATTTGTTTCACTGGCGTGACCATGACATGGCCTGTGTCTTCATGTGCCAAATTAAACATGGACATAGACAGCAAGGGAGTTGGGACTGCCACATTTGTTTTGTCCAGCAAGGCGTGTGCTATCCTCAGGGGAGACCGGTGCATCTTAGGTTTACTTAGTCCTGATTTTTCTTCAGCTGATTATTGTCACTATGATCCATACCCTTTGAGGGAGGAATGTTGTTGGTTTGGATTTTGTTTTGTGAAAAGGTGTAGGTGCCAGGGCCGGCAGGTGGCATGGTAGTTAAGGTCACGTGTGCCCCTGAGAGAGAGCGAGCGAGCGAGCGAGCATCCCCCAGGGGGATGGCGTAATCCTCAAGCTTCTAGATCCGAGACTTGAACCACAGTCAGCTACATGGGATTATTGCCTTAACCTCATGCCACCTGCTGGCCCCCCTTGGATTTTTTTTTCTTTCAGATTGTTTTTATGTGTTTCAAAATTTTAATTGTGTAAGTTCTTTATATATTTTTAAAACGAATCCTTTGTTGCAAGTATCTTCTCCCATTTTTGTAAGTTAATTCTCCTTATGGTATCTTTTGATGAACAGAAGTTCTTATTTTGAATTTGGCAAAAATGTATTAGTCTTGAACCAGCCAGATGACATGGTGGTTAAAGCAGTGGGATTCCACATGGCCAACTTCACAGTTTGAGTCCTGAACCTGGTGGCTTGAAAAGCATGCCAGGCACATGTGCATGTGTGTGTGCACAAAGTCTCAAGAGGAGAATGGAGGAGAAGGGATTGTGGTGTGGTCATCTCTCTGGGGAGTGATTTCTCACTTTCTCTTTTTCTCTCTCTCTGGTGAGGTCATGCATCCTATAGCAAACCAAAGGGAAAAAGAAAAAAGAAAAAAAAAAAACCTCTTCCTCTATGGTGAGGGCTTTTCATGTCTTATTTAAGAAACCTTTTACTTTCCTGAGATTATAAAAATGTTCTACATTATCTGAGTCAGTAACTCATCTGCAGTGTATCTTTTCTGTGATGTGACCCAATTTCGTCTTTTTCCCTAGTGTCGATGCCCAAGCCTTCTAGCACCATATATTAGACAGTCCTTCCTATCCCTACTGCTCTTCGGTGCTACCATTGTCCTACGGTTGGAACCCGGGGACCAGCAGGTGGTACAGTGGTTACGTTGCTGGACTCCCACATAATTGACAGCAGTTTGAGTCCCAGATCCGGTGGCTTAAAACTCACACCAGGCACCTGTGTGAGAGGAGAATGGAGGAGAAGGGATTGCAGGGTGGCCATCCCCCCGGGAGGTGATTTCTTGCTTTCTGTCTATCTCCCCATCGAGCACACATGCCCTGTGACAAAAATCTCTTATAAAAAAAAAAAGACATAAAGTAGGAAACTGTACATGTATGAATCTGTTTCTATATCTGCTTTATTTTTCTATTCTCACACCACACTGTCTTAATTACTGTAACTTAAAGAAGTTTTATAACTGTTAGAAAATCTGCCTACTTTCTTTTCCTTTCAAGTGTGTTGGCTGTTCTTCATGCTTTCCATTTTAGTACAGTTTAGAGCAGCTTATAAATCACACCTGTTGAATGCTGAAGTTTTTATTTTAATTGTCTCAGATCTATGAAATATTTAAGGAGATATTACATTTTTATGACAATGAGTTCTATACATAGTATGTTATATTCCTCCATTTCTTTTTTGTTGTTTTTAAAATTTTTGGTGGTTTTTTTTTTTTTTTTTTAGCTACAGGGAGAGACGGTGTGGAGGAGTGAGAATTCACCCCTCAGAGAGGATGGCCACCCTACAATCTCTTCTCTCTTTTCTCTTTTCCTCTCGTGATTTTCGGTGCACATACACATGTGCCTGGCGTGTTTTTTAAGCTGCCAGATCCAGGACTCAAACTATGTAGTCTGAGCCATCCTAACCACCCTACCATCTGGCTGACCCATCTCTTTATTTCTTTAAGTCTTTGAAGTTTCTCACTATAATTTTTTTCCCATAGAAGATGTACATATATTTTGTTATTTTTTCCCAGATATCTTGTTTTTATCTATATATTATGTTGTATATTAATTTTTTGTTTATTATAGCTGTATAGAAATCACCTTCCTTTTTTATTGATGTTGAAACCAGAGATTATGTCAGACACTTTCTTATTAATTCTGATATTTATCTGTTAATATTTTATTGATTTCTTTCCAATACTTTGTGGCTTTTTCTTGCCTTACTCTGCTGTCCTGGACCTCCAATGCAGTGGTGACATTGGGCATCTGGTCTTGTTTCTGTTTTCTGGTTTCAAGGGGAAGCATTCATCCTGTAACCATGAAGTCCAGTATTTTGCCTAGAGATTTTTGCCCTTTTTTTTTTTTTTTTTTTAGAGAAAGATTTTTTCTATAGGTTGAGACATAGAGACAAAAAGTGAGAAATCTTTCCCCAGGGAGGATGGTCACACTGCAGTCCTTTTTCCTCCATTCTCTCAGGGTGTTGGGCACACACATGCACCTGGTGTGAGGTTTTTTTTGTTTTTTTTTTTTTTTGAGAGGTTTTTTTGCTATAGGGTGTGTGGGCTCAAGAGACAGAGACAGACAGAGAGACAGAAAGCGAGAAATCACCCCCCAGGGGGGATGGCCACGCTGCAATCCCTTCTCCTCCATTCTCCTCTTGGGATCTTGGGCACGCATCCGGCGTGAGTTTTAAGCCACTGGGTTCGGGACGTGAATCGCGGTCGACTACATGGGAGTCCAGCGACATAGCCATTACGCTAACTGCTGGTCCCCTGGTGTGAGTTTTAAGCTGCTGGATCCTGAACTCAGTCCGTGGTTGACTACATGGGAGTCTAGCAAGGTAACCATTATACCATCTGCTGGTCCCACTTAGGGTTTTTCATAAATATTATTTATCAGGTTAAGAAAATTTTCTCTTTCCTATCCTAGTGGCTAAGGGTTTTTAAACATGAAAACATGTTAAATTTATCAAAAGTTTTTTCTCTGTCTTCTGATGTAATTACGATTTTTTTTAACCTCATCATTCTAATGTTGCCTTTCAAACATCTGTGAGAGTACCTACTAAAGCAATAAAGTAATTCCAGTCTCAACTCTTTTATTGGACATAGCTTTTAAAAAGAAATAAAAGGTCATGATAGTATTGCTCTTTCCTACACGTCTTATCTTCAAATTAGTTCCATAAAGTATTTTGCTGCTGCTACAAATTTCTTTTACAGTTTTTAAAACTGTTTTTATTTTTTTAGTTGTTCATATGGAATCCAGAAATAACCGTTCACATCTCGGGTGGTTTTTGAAAAGTGATGATGTGAGGAGTCAGAATCCCACCCTCCTTTATTTTAGAGTGCCCAAAAGCGTGTGCTGGCAGGTGACTTTCTTATCGTGGGCTTTCAAGCTTATCTTTGCCCTCACTTAGAGCAGTCGCTAAATTGGGTATGTCTTCTATTGATAATAGAAAATGGTCTTTTCATTTAAATAGGTAAAAGTTCTAGTGGCTGAGATTATGAGTGGATTGTGGCATGGAGATCCATTGGGGGTAACTGTCTGTCTGTCTCTCACAGAAGAAACAGCACAGCTGTTTTGGAACTCAGTTGGGTTTTTAGGATGTGATCATCATCCGAGTCACAATTCAGTGACTATGTGAAGGGAATTTATCTACCCTTTTTTTAAAAACAAACAAACAAACAAAAAAAAAACAGGAAGACTGGCCATACCAAAATCCATTCTCTTCTCCCCTTGGGATTTTGGGCATGCACACACACACATGCCCCATGTGATTTTCAAGCTACCAGGTCTGGGACTTGAACCATGGTTGGCCATGTGGGTTTCCAGCACCTTAACCACCATTCCACATGCTTGCTCCCTATCTAACCTTTTTATAGATTCCAGTCTACAGTGGGCTTTCAGGGCATACGCTTCTGGGCAAGTCTGAGCACAAGGAAATCTTGTAGTCTGGAATTTTAAGTCTCTGGACTGATTATAGGCTGGATTATAGGCTGCTAAAATAGGAAAGTGCTGAGGGTTCGAAATTAACCTGACGAGCTCATAGAGGAAAGGGTCATAAACAGTAATAATTGATGACGTTTGTCAGATATCTCTTCGGAATGAGCGTGCGATAACAGAGGCCAAGGCCATCCGTGTCCCATTGCATCCCCAGTTCTTCTCTGCTAATTGTGCAGATCGACAAGAATGGTATAGCAGACATCTTTTCTTTGTATTTGGCTTAAGTAGAAAGGAAATGTATTACCTTGTGTACATAGAGGCCAGCTGTAGGGCAGAAGTAAAGGGTAGCTGAGACAACAGTTCAATACTGTCAGTAAAGACCCAGATACTTTCCATCTGTTATCTTCAGTTCTTGTTGGCTGCAGGATATTTTCCAGAGGCCAGGATAATTAACAGAGAATTAGCAAGAATGACTTCTTAAATTTCTTCTTTTTTTTTTTTTGGAGAGGTTTTTCGCTATAGGGCACGTGCGCTCGCCAGCCAGAC